TGTTGGCGGTTGGAATACCAAGGTTGGGAGAAAAAAGGAACAGTAGTTGGAAAATACAGTCTTGGTGATAGAAATGAAGCTGGAGATTGCATATTAAAACTTTTCAAGACCAATGACTTGTTTAAAGCAAATACCTTTTTCAACAACACACATGGTGACTAAACAGAAATGGACTTCTCTAGATCAAATATTCAGAAATCAAATTGAGTATATCTGTGGGAAGAGAGGCTCAATACTAGAAGGCCATGCACTGACTGGGAAAAGGTCAACAATTGCTTACATGTAAGTTCAAGTCAAAGCTGAAGAAAATTTTAAAAACTCCACAAGAGTCAAAATATGACCTTGAGTCTATCCCACCAAAATTTAGTGAAGATCTCAGAACAATTTCGATGTGTTGATGCATTTGATGCATTGAACACTAATGACAGAAGATTTGATGAGCGAGCAGGAAGACATCAAAAAACGTCATTCATGAAGAAAGCAAAAGGTCATGAAAATGACAGGAAATAAAAGATCAAAGTATATGTCAAAAGGGACTCTGAAACTTGCTCTTAATTGTAGAGTAGCTAAGGTAATTGGAAGAAAGGATGAAGTCAAAGAGCTGAATAAAAAATTTCAAAAGGCAACTTGAAAAGAAAAAGGGAAATATTATTATGAAATGTGAAAAGACCTAGAGTTGAAAATTCAAACAGGAAGAATACTCTCAGAATATATGAAACGGAGACTCCAAGGGGGCAAAAAATCAAGCCTCGAGTTGCTATATTGAAAGATTCTAGGGGCAAAATATGTCAGATGGGTCTTGTAGACTACCAGTAAGATGCCTACCTTGTTACTTGGGGTTTGTTGACTATTGCAAGGCATTTAACAGTCTGGACAGTAACAAACTGAAAAGAATGGGAATCCTAGAAATCCCAGAACATCATCTTGTGCTCATGTGGAACCTGTATGTGAATCAAGAGTTGTGGGTACAAAACAATGTAATACTATATGATTTAAAGTCAAGAAAAGGGTGCATCAGGGTTCTGCCCTTTCACTATGCTGATTAAATCTGTATGCTGAACAAATAATCAGAGAACTAGGGTTATATAAAGAAGACTGTGATTCAGAGTTGAAAGGGATTAGTAACAACCTATGACATGCTGATGACACAACCTTGCTTGCTGCAAATGAGAAGGACTTGAAGCACTTGCTAATGAAGACCAAGAAGAGCAGCCTTCAGTATGGATTACAGCACAAAGTAAAGAAAACCAAAATCCTCACAATGGGTAACATCTGCTAAACAGAAAAAATGAAGTTCTCACGGATCGTTTCATGCTTGTATTCACAATCAATGCACATGGAAGCAGCAGTCAAGGATTCAGAACTCTTTACCCATTGCAGTGGGTAAATCTGATGCAAAAGACCTCTTTAAAGTTTTGAAAAGTAAGGATGTTATAGGACTAAGAAGTGCCTGCCCCAATCCATAATATTTTCAACTGCCTCATGTATATAAAGTCTGATAGTGAATGATAAGACAGAAAAATAATCCATGCATTTGAATTTGGTGCTGGAGAAAAATATTGAAAGTACAGTGGACTACGAAAAGAATGAACAATGCTGTCTTGGAAGAAGTGCTGCCGGAGTGCTCCTTAGAGGTAAGAATGGTGAGACTTCCCCTTACCTACTTTGGACATGTCAGGAAAAACCAGACCCTGGAGAAGGACATTGTGCTTGGTAAAGTAGAGGGGCAGTAAAACAGAGGAAGAACCTCAAGGAGATGGATTGACGGTGGCTGTCAATGGGCTCAATCATAGGAACAATTGGGAGGATGGCCCAGGACAGTGCAGCCTTTTGTTCTGTTGTGAATAAGGTCACTCTAGGTCAGAATTGACTTCATGACACCTAATGAAAACCTAACCGATTAAGGTAAATGAGGACATCTAAACAGAGAATTCAAGGTAAAAGGACATAAGGTAATCTAGGAGAGAGCTCTGGGAATATCATATGTGAGAATGAAGAATAATTAAAGATGTTTCCTATTTTAGGGATGAAAAATTTCAGATAGTGATGGATGTGACAAACATAAAATACCTTGATGTATAAAGCACAAACACACTGATGTGTACATAAACACTGAATGACTGAGATAATCTTGTATGTCATTAAAACTGCATCCATCATAGATCACAATTGAAGGGGTTGATGTGGAAACCCCATGATATGAACAGGACTCTGCCCCAAACTCATAGATTACCCTTAAGGCCGAAACTATGAAATGTGAGAAGCTGACTGCTACACCAAGGGTATAAAACCATCAGTAATCAGACTACCAGAGACTACCTGCCAGGAGAAGCCAGCCCCTAGCACATCATTATGGGTCCAGTAGGCGCAATTGTACAGCGATAATAAGTAAAGATTATAGTAAAGTTATAGACAGCATGAGAGATAGAAGAGAAATATAGAAATAAATGGAGTCAGACACAATTCAAGGTAGTATGCTCACCTCAGTCCTGCTTGGTGGAGAGATAATCCACGTGGAGAGATAATCTTTAATGCTAAGGCTTTTATATTCTCTGGGTACATGCAAGCCCCCTAATTACAGGGGAAGACATACATCATAGGAAAGGGTTGTGCTATAGGTAATACAGTAATGGGAGGGGGTGATCTAGGGGTATCAACACAATAGGAAGAGGGAGTATACATGTGGCAAGATGGGAGGATCCTAGATACAGTATGGCAGCCTAACTTTGGATGTCACAGAGACTGTTTGACTTGTTCCCTGGCTCAAATGACAGAGACCATTATCAGTAGGGTGTGAACTCCACCTATGGGAACCAAGCTAATGGTCACAAGCCTTAGGGAAAAGTAATCCATTGTCTCCAGCAGCAGGGAGCAGGCCCACCCCTGTGGTGGGGGGAGCCAGCATTCTGGCAGCGATGCCTTCAGGGAGGTTGTAAGCATCTGACCTCCCCCCACCACTACCATTGCCATATACGATTCCAATGCCCTTCTTGCTTTATGATGTGTCAGGCTGGTAGACCTGGTTCTGCCGCTGTGAATGAATAGTATGGAAAGTGTTGCCTTATCTCCAAACCCCATTATTTGTGTAAATAGTGTCCAGTCACTTAAGAATGGTGACCAGCAGAATGTTCAAACTATAGAACAATATTATTGGGGCAAGGGATATCATTGCTAATATCATATGGATCTTAGCTCAAAGCAGAGAATACAAGAAAGATGCTTAGTCATGTTTTGTTGACTATGCCAATGCATTGGACTCTGTAGACTGTAGTAAACCATACATTGCCTTGAGAAGAAAGGGAATTTCCGACTACTTGATTGTGCTTATGAAGAACTTGTACATGAATCAAGAGGCAGTTGTACAACAAAACAAGGGAATACTGCATGGTCTAAAATCAGAAAAGGTGTATGATCGGGATGTAGCCTCCCACATACTTATTCACACTTTATGCTGAGAAAATCATCAGCGAAGCTGGATTACATGGAAAGGAGAAAGCCTTAACCAGCTATTATGTGAGAGTCAGGAGAACTTGAGGCACTTGCTGATGAAGATGAAGGACTGCAGCCTTCAGTATGGATTACAATTCAATGTAAAGAAGACCAAAATTCTCACAACTGGATCAATTAGTAACATCATGAAAAATGTTGAAGTTTTCCATCATTTTACCTAGCTTGGATCCACAATTAATGCTCGGTGAACCAGCAATCAAGAAATCAAAAGACAGGTTGCATTAGGCAAATCTGCTACACAAGACCTCTAAGGAATATTGAAAGGTAAAGTTGTTATTTTGAGAACTAAGAGGTTCCTGACCAAACCATGGCATTTTCCATTGTCTCATAGACTTGGGAAAGCTGGACTTTGAGTATGGAAAGTTATCATACAAAATGCATTGGAAAGTGGACTGTGGCAGAGGAACTTAGGTTAAAATTTAAGACCTTATTATTTAATCTTTTTTTTGATCCATTTGAAAGTTATTCTAGTTTTTAATATTTTCTCTGTTTTTAACTGGAAGTTTTCTATTTCCTTTTGAAATTGTGTTAGCTTTTCTGACTCTTTGTTTTTTGTTTCTGTATATTTTTCTATATATGTAGTCCAGGATGGGTGCATCTATAGAAACAGTACCTGGATTAATGGTTTCTTGGGGAGGATAATAGGGGATGTTGATGGGGATGGAATGGGAAGCTAATGATAAGGAGTACAAGAAAAAAAATTTCCTAAAAGTTGATTGTGATAATGATTGATAACTTTTCATGATTTTCTTGAACTTTTGAAGTGTATGATATTTGCAATATGTCCCAATAAAACTTTAATATAATATAACATAACATAATATAAACACACACCTTAATTTATAGAAACAGAGAGGAAGAAATAAAACTATAGTATTGGAATATATATTTTCACTAAATAGCGTCTTCAACTTCTGGTCTGTAATATATGCACTCTCAAACTCTCTGTGGATTTGTTTTTCAGAAAATGAAGTGTCCTGCCATACTGCATATATTAATTTGGTATTAATTATATTAATACTGCATATATTAATTTGGTAATAAGTGAAGTCTAATAAAACATTTGGAAATCTGAACATGAAATTTGACTCTTTTCTTATTATATTCAAGATTCTCCTCTATGCACTCTCTTCTGTAGTTAATATAAATAACTATGATCTTAGATTTCTATTATAATATTTTTATATCCACATGCAATCACAATTTTCAGACAGAATATATATTTTTTAATCATTTTAAAGGTTAAGGGGAAAAAAGAGAAAAGGATAGTTCTTCAAAGTGACTGTATTAAACACAAATGTTTTGATTTTTCTTTTTTCCAGTCAAATTTCTCTGCCCAGCCACAAGACCTCACAGATGCAAAAATAACAGAGTATGTTTGCAGCCTGAGCAAATGTGCAATGGGATTAATGACTGTGGGGACAATTCAGATGAAGATCAATGTGGTGGTAAATCGAATTAATCTGTTGTGTTCATGTCTGCAAAGCAGTATAACAATGTTATGATTTTGAGTTATAAAAAATGCATCCATGTGGTATGTTTGAAGGTTTTTCTCTTAAACATTTGATTTTCTGATAGAATATGAAAATAATCATCAATCATATAACCTGTGTAGTACATATATACAACTCTGTCCAAAGTCCTTTCTAGTCTATAAATCTCAATTGATGATAAGTATTTCAGTTGAGAAAAAAGTGTGTTGATAAGAGAAACAGTATAACATTTAACAATGCACCTTCTTAAATGTTCAGTTCTTAGAAGGATAGGAGGTTTTGTATAATTTATTTATCTTATATATAAATAATATGTATTATTTATATCCAAAATTTTTCTATAAAAACAAGGTGTGGTAGACAAGCTAAAACTATGGTTATTTTGTAACCATAAAATGAAAGCAACTGTAAATTCACTATACATTTGGTTCAAAGATTTCAAATACAGAATTGTGGACCCTTAATAGCCACAGCATTTAGTAAACGATTTTGAAATATGGAACATTTTAGGTGATCTATAAATTTATTGTAATTCTTTTACATAATTATCACTCTTTCCCTACTGGCTCTTTAGATAAGCTTAAATATAAGGCAATACCTTGTAAAAAAGATGAATTTGCTTGTGGCAATAGAAAATGTATCCCCATGAACCTCCAGTGTGATCAAATTGATGATTGTGGAGATGGTTCTGATGAGCAAAACTGCAGAATAAGTGAGTATTTTGTCTCGCTTAACAAAGTACAGTAACACAAAAGTCCATTTTATGCTTAAATGTGATTAAATTTTACTACTATGTGAAAAGTTTGCCCTTCAAAATATCCTTTAGTAATATCTTGTAATTTAAACCTTTGAGAAAACAACCTTGATGTCCCTTTGAAAACATCACCTAGTTTGAGAAACAATAAGTGGAAAGTTGAATTTCTGATGAGAATCTTGTTAGAAGGAGCCCCAATGGTAGACTGTTTAAGTGCTGAACTACTAATCAAGAATCAGTGGTTCAAACCCACTATATACTCTGGAGGGTAAAGGTGAGCCATTGTGTTTCCATAAAGATTTACAGTTTATAAAATCTATGTGAAAGTTTTTCTGAGTTCTATAACATCACTCTAAATCAAAATCAACTTGACAATGTTCTTTTTTTAATTTTATATTATTTTTAGGCAATAGGCCCTATTAAGCTAAGATCTCAATATTCAAATAGAGACTTTGATGTCAGCCAAAAAGAAAGCCTAACTACATTCATTAATATTTTATATTAAAAATATTTATCTAAAAAAATATATATATATATTTGTCTAGTAGTTTTTAATGATACAGTGATATCTAGTTGAATGGTGATAAAGCTATTAATAGTTTAGGCAGTGTTCTATGTTGTAATTCATTTTAAATATACTTTCAAAGAAAGCATCATTGTTTATTTCAGTGAGAGTGCTATGATACTTGATGAATTATTAGATTCTAATTGTTAATAATTTATTGCTTACCTAATACTTGGTATTTGATTTGGCATAGCAAAGAGAAATAATTGCATTTATGATTATGAATTCAGTTTGCACATAAAAATCACAGAATACTTACTACATTGGAGGGGTTTTTTATGGATATATCTAAGTTGTCTCTCACTGGTGATAAAAACTATATATGCCTCAACCTTGACATTATTCGTATATTTAAATAAATTTTAAAATAGTGAAGAGTCATTTGGGATTAATAATACTTAAAGTTCTAAAAGTCAAAATTTTTGGGTTTCTTAATAATTTTATATATTTAAGCAATTTAAAGCAAATCTGTTAGTATGCATCTCTCATTTGTTTTTAGTATAAAATCTTTTCCCAAATGGAAAAGAATGAAGTTGTGACTATTATGCCAGAAATTACACATAACCCATAGTTTATTCCAACTGTACTGTAGCCCATGGGCTGTGGAGCATATGAACTACTCAAATGCTATTCTTCATACATGTGTCCAGGCTATCAAAGCATCAGGACCATTGACTCAGCTTGCTATCCTGAATAATGTGGTGGCGCCCTGGATCAAGCCCTTCGATGCTATAGTTTAAACCAAAACGAATCCCACTTCCATGGAGGGATTCCAACGTGTCATAACCCTTTACAGACATGGTTTCTGAGGCTATAAAGCCTTACCGGAGCAGATAGCCTCATCTTTCTCCTGCAAAGTGCCTGGCAGTTTTGAACCATGTCCTTACAGTTTGCAGCCAAGTGCTCACCAAGCAATGCCACCAGGGCTCCTGTATTATAAGTTAGTTTAGTAATAAATAAATCCCTAAGTAGCTTCTAGGACATATTCTATTCTTTCAAAAGGATGTAGACTCATACATGGTTCTATTAAAACACACACACACAGTGGGGAGAGCAAACAATGTATGCGAGAGGGGGGAAGGAGCACTAGAACTGACTGTGATTATGCAACTCATTTTAAAAGTGATTTATCTGTGGGGAAAAGAAGAAAGCCAATGTTCTAAAATAGATTGGGGTAATGATTGTATGATTCTTCTTGACATGATTAACCTATTGAATTGTGTGATAGGTGGATTATATGCCAATAAAACACACACACATTAGAATTATTAGTCATTAGAATTATTGACCCTTGACTTCCTATTAGAAATTAGCGTGCCTCAATGACAGCTCATAAGCACCACATCACCTGTTGGTAATTTGGTAAACAATACTAAATGTAAATGAGTTCACTTTATCTGGCTCTATATCTTTAAAAGCAATGAAGTCTTATAGGGAGAATAGACTATAATCTTCTACATTCAAAAAGTTATATAAAGAATAATAAATATCATTTTCAAATTTAAAAATAAACTTCCGCTTCAGGAATTCAAATTATATTAGTTGTCATCATATTTTTAAATCCTAGATCCCAGTGGCTATACCTGTGAGGAGAATGTGAATCCATGTGGAGATGATGCCTATTGTGATCAAATAAAAACATCTGTTTTCTGTCGCTGTAAGCCTGGATTCCAGAGAAACATGAAAAACAGACAGTGTGAAGGTACAGTACATCACCTCACCAGCTTGCTCTTAAATCTTTGGGTTACAAAAAGACTCACCAGGCTGCTAAATTGTGAGATGACAAAAGATTGATTTTCATCAAAAGGTTGTGCATCTATGGGATGCCATTTTACCTCTGAGTGTGAAACTCAACTCCTGGGGTCAAGAGCTTGTTTGCTTGGACTGCTAAGCTAACCACCACTGAGGCTACACACTTGCAGGGATTTCAATTCCTTTGTAACAACTCTGTTTTGAAATGCAAATAAAAGAATTATGATTTCAGGAACTATTTGAGAATTAGACCCATTTCATGAAAAATATTTTATGATGATCTACTTCTTTTTAGTTTTGGCTATTTGTTATATTGCAATAGTTACTGCTCATTTAGACAATTGTGGTCTTTTGTCCTGATACCATATCTTAAACAGTATTATAAACAATCAAGATATGCTTTTTTACATTCAAAGCGGTGTATAAAAATATATCTTAAATTATTTTAGATCATTAAAGATTAAGCATATTGGACATGTAGACCCTTAAAGTGAGCGATATGCAATAATAATGTAAGTCAGGGCTTTATCTATGGAGTAAAGAAATTGAGACCCATGTACATTTTCTGCAAATTTCACCACAAAAGTGATATTGATGATCACCTGTTGCGGTGATTGAAATCTGATGGTTTAAATGGTTAATGCCTTCTGAGACAACCAGAAACTATCTGAGAGTATCACGGACCAGGCCAGAGGTGCCCTCGGAAGACAGATTTGGTGATCTGCTTCTGCAAAATCAGTCATTGAAAAGCTCATACAAAACAGTGTGATTCTGGCATATGAGCGCTTTAGCTTCTAAACTAGAAACTGCTTTCAGCTTGGTTATTGGGATTAGAGCCAAACCTATATTGTCTAAATCGGGCTTATTTAGAATACAGTGATGTATTCAAATGATTTCACCTACCATTTTATTTCTATAGTATCTGTTTATGATAGTTTTGGGTATACGAAACTGCTTTTACATTGTGAATCAAAATGGAAGTGTTGTAATCAATTAATTATGCTTACATAAGAGGAAGAAACTAGTTATCATACTTATGCTGAGTTGTGTGCTTTTTAGGGTTATGCATGATACATTACTTCTCCCTCCTTATACTTCTCATTTATTTTTTCCGAAACTTTCCCGACTTAGGAACAGGGATCAGCTTCAGTCGCTGTGCTAGATCAAATTGATGGTCGACAGAAAAGCCTAAGTGCTTACACTTCCAGCCATTCCCATTAATATTGGATGGGGTTATATAGGTAGCCGTGGGCTAGCTTAACCTCTGAAGAGTATAGCTCTAATCACTGTCAACTCAATTTTGTCAGACAGACTGAAAGCAGATCTATCCCATCAGACTCAGGAATTCAGGCATACTTCTGGTGTCAGAAGTAAAATATCTTGCCGTGACCCCAAACTCATAGAAGCCTGGGGATTTTTGTAAAAGAAATAACAAAGGTGCATGGATAGTGAAACTTTTGACTTTCAGATGGCCACACTGGTGCTTTTTATTAGCCATTGCTGAAAGGAATGTGACCCATTGCCATCAAATTGATTCCAACTCAGTTATCCCATATAGAGTTTCTGAGACTGTACCCCTTCACTAGAGCAAATAGCCTCCTCTGAAACAGGCCAATCAGTCTTGCACAAGAGTGCTCATTAGAAGCAAAGGTGGAGAGACTTTGTGTTACATACTTTGGACATGTCAGGAGAGGCCTCTCCCTGGAGAAGGAGAACATATTTGAGAGACTAGAGGAACAGCCAAAGAGAGGAAGGCCCGCAAGGAGTTCCATTGACACTTGGGCTTCAACAATGGATTTAAGTCTGGGAATAGTTGGAAGAATGGTGCGTGACTGGGCAGTGTTCTGTTGTGTTGGACATGTGGTAGCTGTAGGTCAGAAAGGACTTGATGGCACTTAGCAACAACAATGACAACAACATAAACTGTTAAAAGGACCATGAGGGGCAGTGACGAAGAGGAAGGCCCTCAAGAAGGCGATTGACACTATGGCTGCAGCAATGGGCTCAGGCCTGGAACCATTGTGAGGCTGGCACAGGGCTCGCCAGGACTTTGTTGTTGTGCATATGCTCCCTAGGGATCAGTACCAACTGGATGGTACCTAACCAAGACAACAAAAATGCTGCAAATATTCTAAGGATACATATGAAGCTAGACTATATGAAGAAGAACAGCATCAGATTGAAGAAATATATATTATAACCTCAATGTGCCAGGGACATACTTTGCTTTCTGATAATGAAGAATTATTACTAATGAACCACTTACTGATTGAGATCAAAGACTGCAGTTTTCAGTTTGAATTACCTCAACATAAACAAAAATCCTCCCACTTAGAACAATAAGAAACACCATGATAAAGGGGAATAAGACAGGTTGGTTGTGCAGGATCTCATTTGACCTGGATCCGCAGTCAAGGCCCCTGGGAGCAGCACATGGGAAATCAAACAGCACAGTATTGTATTGGGGAAATCTCTCTCAGGCCTCTTTAGTGCTAAAGATCAAAGATGTCACTTTGTATCTGAGCCTGACAATACTGAATCACCTCCCATGCATGAGAAAGCTGGACAATGAATAAGGACAATAAAGATAAACCGAAGCATTTGAATGATCACGTTGGTAAAGAGTATGAAATCCTCGGTGAGTTGCCAGGAGAACCAACGCATTTGTCTTGGACGCAAACCAGCAGGTCTGTAGACCCCTGAGAAGTGAGGACCCTGAGACTTTGTGTTGTGTGTTTTGGACCAGTATCAGAGGAGCAAGTTCCCGGTGAAAAAGAGGATCAGCAAAAATAGGGAGACAGTCAAAGAAGTGGATTGATACTGTGGCTGCCACACAGACATAAGTAGAGCAATGGTGACAGCGGTGCAGCATTAGACAATGTTTCATTCTCTCCTACACAAACTTACTATGTGTTGTGATCCATTGAGGGGACCCAAGATAAAGTGCTAGTAGCACACATGCCATTAAAGGCATGTAAATACTGGTTTTCTCTATACCATTGCCTCCTTTTCCAATTAGTCACAGAAGTGGCTCTTCATTAGAATCCATAATTCTCCTTGGGTAAGATGGACTCTCAAAGAATAGAATCAGAAAACGTCTTTGTCTCGGCACCATTCTTAGCAGTTGTCACTGTGAAAGCCCTTGTCTGCACCATTGAGTTCCTGGAATAGTTTTCTATGTAAAACAAAACATGATTATTACTGTGCTTATTTGTAAGCTCTCTAAGTCAAATAGGGATCGGTTTGTTTCATAACTTTAAGACACGAGCAGGATAGCTACCAGTGATAGAAGGAGCCCTGATGGCGCAGTGGTCAAGTGCAGGGCTGCTAAGAAAAGGCTGACGATGCAACTTACCTGATGGCTCCAAGAAAGAAAAAAATGAGAGATCTGCTCCCATATAGATTATAGCTTCTGTAAACCAGTGTGTGTGTGTGGGGGGGGG